TCTCAATTCCTTATTTCCCCTTACATTGCATTCCCTTATCTGGCCACCACATACATATACTCTCCCTTCTTAGACCCCTTGGCTAGATAGTTCCTAAGAATCCTTCTTTCAGGTGTAACTTTTTTGAATCTGACTATCTGGATTGAGGCCAAGTGTAATTTCCACCTTTCTCTTGATGTTGTAGATAATGGCACTGAGCATAGGCCCTTTAATGACAGTGGCAGTAGAGCTTATGTGGGATTGTTTGACAGTAACAAGATAGTGTTTTCTCCCCTCCTAGTGAGGGGTTTCAGGAGATTGGCTGTACTAGGGAGGACAGAAGGAATTTTCTCTGGGTTTTGTTGTATATTCCTATAGTCATAGAAATGGGAGTTGAAGGGGCATTGGCCCACGTTGCCTTGGGTCTAAGACTTAACCATTAGAGAGAAAGAGAGAGAAGGAGGAGTGGCATTTCTAGGGTGTCTGAGATACTTTGAGGAATTCCTGTCTTTCAGATCTAATTAAACCTCATACTGGGAGACTGACACTTGTGTTAGTGAGGGGCTCTGTAGGCAAGGATGATGCAAAATATGAAATAATCCAAAAATGATCTCTTTGGCTTTGAAACACTTTTATATGAACACACCTAAGCTGACATTACACTTCAGACAAAAAATAAAAGTACAGAAGCCTCCTTTGTAAGATCTCAGTAATCCTAGCAAAGCATTTACTTAACAAGTGGGGTTAATCTATGACCAGCATGAGGTACCACCCCAGGCAGGGATGTTTTCTCACAGCTGCTGCTGCTGCCTTTTTTTTTTTTTAAATAAAGTTTATTTATTTTGATAGAAGGAGTAGGGGCAGAAAAAGAGGGAGAGAGAGAATCCCAAGCAAGTTTCGTGCTGTCAGCACAGAGCCAGATGAGGGGCTCGAACTCATGAACTGTGAGATTGTGACCTCAGCCAAAATCAAGAGTTGGACACACAACCAACTAAGCTACCCAAGAGCCCCTTTTCTCAAAGCTTCTTGCATGCAGGCTCTGTAGAGTAGAATTTACATGTAAAGATAAACAAAAAAAGTAGGGCAGGTGCTAATTATAGTGGAAAGATGGGGCAATGGACCCCATCTGCTGGTATGTCATCTTTAACTCTTACCATAACCCTGTGAAGAAATGAGTCCTACAGCTTAGTAGTAGCAGGCAGGACTTTGACCTATATGTTTGCTGCCAAAAACCTGTACTTCCTATGTTGCTCCCAGTCTTCTCTTGTATTTTCCCAGTTTCCTCAACACTGAACAACTGTAATGTAATTCATTTCTGGTTCCACCTAACTAGGACTCAGATCTCTCATCTGTAAGACAAGAGTGGTAAATTATGTATTCCCTTACATAATTTTAAGATTCTGTGCTTTTGGTAGTGAAATTCTAAAAGAGGTTTGTCAGGGATAAACGCAGTAAAGGATGCTAGTTTTGTTTTGCCTTTTTGTTTCATAGTCTTTCAGTGACATTTAAAAGAATATTTTTAAAAGAACATAATTGATTGAAAGAAAACTAATTCATAAAATCAAACACTTGATGACAGTAGTAGAGAAGGTTTAAGTTCCATAAAAGAGTAAACCACTATGTCAGAAATGTGTGATGACACAGATGCATCTGTATTTTATTATTTGAAAAGTTAGAACCTGTGTGTAGGTGAGGATATAATTGAGAGAGCACAAACCTATTTCTAGCATAAAATGGACAAATTAATGTTCTTAAAAAGTCAGTGGATTGCTTGATTTTTAATTTTTTGCCTTGCAATTGTAATGAGCAGCAAAATTTTCAAAATCTTTTAATCAGGGAAGGAAACAGCACTTTGATTAACCACAGGCCAATTAGTTATTAACTAATTGTGTTAGATTTACCTTTATAAAGATATGCTTCTAAGGATTGTAGAAAAACTAAGAAGTAATTATTATAAATTTGTGTTTTACGATTGTGACAGACATCAAGTTTAGCAGATGGGAGAATGTGTAGTTTGGCTAATCCTTAAATGTTGTAACATGGAATGTGCTTACATTAATGATTAATTTTTAAATTGGAAATGTTTCCATTTGTAACTTTACTTGAAGTGACTATTTTGATGCTTTTGAAAGTCAAAGTAATCTTAGTAGCAGTGTATTTGTTTTCGCAGTATAGATTAGTAATCAAGTGGGAGAGAGGACAGTATCTCCATGTTTATTCCGTCCTGTAATGAATTGTTTGAGTCAAATTGGAAGCATAGTTGCTGCTTCTCTTACTAATGTGCTGAATTTTCCTAGCTCCTCCTCAGTAGCTTTTGTTTCCTTTCTTTTAAAAGACAGATGAAATTACTACAGGATCTTACCTGTCTCTTAATTCTGCTGTGCAGCAAGAATCACTTTTAAAAGAATAGCACAAATTATCACTATCAGGTAGCTCATGTTCACTTAGTTCTTTCAAGTCCAAGCCTTGATGCTAACTAAGTGCTTTAAACCTACCTTATTTCATCTTGGTTTGCTAATGAGAAGTTTAAGATGACCTTGGAACACAACATCCTTAATTATGGTTTCTTGTTGGAAGAAAGATGGAAAGGCAACCATTCCTTTAATTTATTAAAGTTTGTATAGTATTGACTTGTCATTGTTTTGGATATACTGGAAATGAGGAATGACACTGATAACTTACTTTAACTTTTAAGTGTAATTAAAATATGAAAATATTACTGTCTTTGTTTATGATGAATACTAAATTTAAGCTAAGCTATAAGGTGTGCTGTTTGGAAATATGGAAGATACAAGAATGAAGCCAGATAACAAGTTTATGCTTGTATTTCCTACTGATGAAGACTTTCAGACCAGTTATTTCCATGGGTAGGTGATGTTAACTCTGCATGTACATATACAACTCTACTCTTTGCATGATTCTACATGTAGGAGTGGTACAATTTTGACTTGACTGTTGACCTGATGCCTCAATTTGGTGGTTGTAGTGGGGAGAGATGTTAGAGCAAGAGGTTGTGAATGGTATTAGTGGTATAAATTTTAAAATCATTAATTTTTTTTTGCAAAACAACACTTAACTAAAGCCCTTTTTAAAATAGAACATTTGGTCAAATAGTCAATATTGTACTTGACCCTCATATCTTCTGCACCCAAGTATTTGGACATCACACAGTATCTTGATTCCATAATAATCATTTTGAACTCTGACGAGAACTCCGTATATAATAGAGCTTTCTTTTCTTTTTTAGAAAAGAAAAAGCATCAAACATGAGCTAATTTTTTGCTATTTGAGCTAAAATCCATTACCGACTGACACCAAGGCTACACTATTGAATTTTATGAACTTGATTTACCCTCTTGGGGGAATTGGAAATTATCGTTAAGTAATCAACTAAATTTGTCATGATCGTCAGAATTTCATATTGTGACATGTCTGTTCTTATACAGTGGCACTTAACAACTTGTTTGCTTTTATTTGGTCATTTTTATTTTAAAAATGTTGCTACGTAAGCCTTTGGTTTGGGACCTTTGCTTTAAGGGATAAATACCCCAAATGTGTTCCATGTTTTGTTCAGTCACAATTCACACAATGGATGTTTGTATTAAAACTAATCTTTCATTGTGTTCTATTTTAATGATTCATTGGCATATGTATTCCTTCATAGTCAAGAGTTTCATACAATAGATGTGTTGAATGTCAGACAGTCTTGATATTAAAAAATCTTTATGGAAATAAATAATTTGCCTGCACTTCATAAATAGCTCCTGGGGGGAGAAACTACAGTCCTTTATTTCTGCTTTATTCTAAAATGGAGATAGTAGTAAGGGATGTATTTCATAATTGAATGAAAACTCTATTTTTGTTTTTTTGCTGTTAGAAAAAGGGTAGCATTAGCATTTTAAAGCATGTATCTATTATACAAGCATGATTATTGAGTTATTTTAGTATGAGTCACTGCAGTTTAATTACTTTGGAACTCAGCTGCCTTTTTCAGCTAGTTTAAGGGTGATTTGGAGGTAGAAGAGATCTTTTATTTTCCAGTTAGAACTTTAATATCTTCCCCTAAAGTAACCCATAAGGTTGCATATCATTGCCTTGGAATGCGAACTGGTTGTCTTTCTCAGGGAAAAAGAAATTTTATTCCTAACAAGACATCCAAAGCAAAATTGTGATGGTGGATTTTGTGAATATTGTCTTTTTGTAGAATGCTAGAAAATGCATAAGAACCTTGATATTTTATTTTTTAAAGTTTATTTATTTTGAGAGAGCAAGAGAGAGAGAGAGCATAGTGGGAGAGGGAGAGAGATAGAAGGAGAGAGAATCCCAAGCAGGCTCTCTTTCAACATGGAGCCCGACACGGGGCTCGATCCCACGAGATCCCATGAGCTGTGAGATCATGACCTGAGCCAAAACCAAGAGTTGGATGCTTAATTGACTGAGCAACCCAGGCGCCCTGATCCCTGGTATTTTTAAAGGGCTTTATTGGACATAAAGAGCTCAAGTAGAGCTCTTAATGTTAACTTTATTTCTTTAGAATAGAAACATATGTATTTGATATTCTTCTTTGAATCTAATAGTGACTTTTAAGTATTAGCTACTAAGAGAAAGAACTAGATTTATTCTCTTAAAAACTATAAATTGAGTTTTAATAGTTTGCATCAGTTTTTTTTTCCCTTCAAAAATCAGTTTTACTTTCTCCTGTGGAGTCTTCTCCTTTTTTATAATCTTTTGCTCTTTAGGAGTATGATGAGAATTCAGTGTAACTTTGTTCAGTACAGTCTTGTCTTCTGTTCTTCATAATAATGCTCCTTTTCTCCTTTTCAAATGTGTCCCCTCATCTTATAAGCTTGGGTTATCTTTTCTACTTCCACATCGTGTACAAAATATTAGATGTATAAAGTGCAGCTTTTCTGACCAGGTAGAGTAATAAGATAAAGGCAACTGGTGTTTAGAGGGCTCTTAGTTGCAGTATTTTTCACCCCACAAGTTAGATACAAGTATACATTTTCTTTCCTCCCTAGATGGACCTCCAGTTGTAGCTCATTATGATATGTCTGACACCAGCTCTGACCCAGAAGTGGTAAATGTGGACAATTTATTGGCGGCTGCAGTAGTTCAAGAGCACAGTAATTCTGTAGGAGGCCAGGACACAGGAGCTACCTGGAGGACCAGCGGGCTTCTAGAGGAGCTGAATGCGGAGGCAGGTTGGTCTCCCTCCCCTTCCCCTTCTCTGATGGTGTACTGTGCATGTGTCCTGGCAGCTATTTGCCTGGTAGCGGGCCCCGCCAAGGAGAGCAGGCCAGCTAGAGACATCTGGCATTAGATGATTGCGACTATCCAGGGTGCCCTTTATAACTGAAGAGGAGATGTGGGTAGCATGTCTGTCATTCATCTTTCCTAACCTCAAGGAAGCAAAAATGAGAATTAATTGTAAGCATAGGTAGATTTCAGTAGACCTATTTCTTGGGTTAAAAATGCTTATTAACATATGTTAAAAACCACCCAGATGACCTTCACGCTCACCCACCCTCCCCTTCCTTCTCTAGGGGTTTCTCTCATTTAATCTGTATAGCAGCCTTGTAGTTAGGAGAGGGAGCTGATTAAACTTGCCCCCCGGGCTGTTCCTGTGCAGGGCTGCACTGTTTCTTCAGCTTCTAGCAGTGCCAGTGTCCCTGTCCATTCCGCTCCAGTAATTCTCATGTTTGTCTTTTCCAACACTTTTCTTTCAGTTTCTGCTTCTTGTATCTCGGGAAAATCTCTCTCCCTGTCTTGCATAATTTATCTGGGCTCTGTAATAATTATGAAGAGTGATTAAAAAAAAAACATTGCATTACTTTTGAAAACCTTGCCCAGTGCCTCCAACTCTCCTGCAGTGTGTTCCTCAGTACTTGTTCAACATTCTTTCTCATTTAAACCTTTTTCTTAATGTGCTAGTTCTTAAGTTTGAGGAAAGAGGGGAAGGAGATTGAGAGACTACTTTTGTAGTGTGTATTTTCTTTAGTGCTACAGAAGGATTATAGTTTTGTAGTTAAATTATAAATTGCCTTGGCTTTTATGAGCTAATCCTGTAAATCAGAACCTAAAAAATGTTTATGGCAAACGGGTTTTACAAAAATAATAATGGACGTAGAACTGTTTATACTGAAATTGTTAAGAAATAAAAAAGGAGACAGAACTCCACAGATCATTGTCCTTAATTCTTCCTTTCATATCTTCCATATCTTTGATTGGAACAAAATAGAAATCTCTTGTTGAATTTAGGATTAATTTATTGCGACTAATTTTGGAGCAGGACCTAGATTTAGTTTTTTTGTTTTTTTTTTTAAATTTTTATTTCTAGGAGAGAGAGACAGCGTGAGCAGGGGAGGATCAGAGAGAGAGGGAGTCACAGACTGAAACAGGCTCCAGGCTCTGAGCTGGCAGTCAGCACAGAGCCCGACGCGGGGCTCGAACCCACGAACCGCGAGATCATGACCTAAGCGAAAGTCGGACGCTTAACCGACTAAGCCACCCAGGCGCCCCTAGATTTAGTTTTAAACATGTTTAGACTGCTATCTATTTGACCTTGACCTTGGATAAGATGTTTCTCCTCTGGACTTCAGTTTTTATATCTATAAAGACTTGTTTTGCCCAACAAGGATCTGTTAAGGATTTATTAATATGTATAAATACTTTTAAGAATTAAGCAGTAATATTTTATATCAAAGGACAGTAGTTTAACCATATGTGTTTCTAAGTTACATAATTTGTTCTGTACACTGGAGAATTTATCTTCATTTTTATCCATTGACAAATGATCCATTCTATTTCAGTTTCATTCCCCTGTTTCTTAGTCTTTCCATTAAAATGTAGACCACTATATGTATAGTAAATTCTTGGAGAAAACATCAAAATTTAATTTTTGTTTTTTATGGAGAGAGGTTTTTTTTTTTGAGGGTTTCTCAAATCTTCGTTTATTTATTCATTTATTTTTTACAAATAGTTTATTGTCAAATTAGTTTCCACATAACACCCAGTGCTCATCCCCACGAGTGCCCTCCTCCATGCCCATCCCCCCCCCATCCATCAGTCCTCAGTTTTTGTCAGCATTCAAGAGTCTCCCATGGTTTGCCTCTTTTATGGAGAGTTTTAATACTAGTTTAAACCACATGGAATTGTTAATACTTGACTTTTTGACCTGTAACAAACCCAGCAGTTTCAGATACTTCAACCTAATAATGCAGGCTGTGGAGTCTTAAAGTATCCTTAAAGTTACCAGCATTGGGGATAGCATCACATTTTAAGATTCAAGTAATTGTTAGCTTGGTTATTTAAAACATCACTAGCCTTTGTGTACTTATTTTTTTTTATGTTTTAAAAATTTCTGTAACACAAAAAAATGGTTTTTTTAAAGTTTATTTATTTATTTTGAGAGAGTGTGTGTGTGTGCATGTGGGCAGGGGAGAGGCAGAGAGAGAGAGCACTGTCAGCATGGAGCTCAATATGGGGCTTGAACTCAGAAACCGTGAGATCATGACCTGTGCTGAAATCAAGAGTTGGATACTTAAGCTTAACCACTTAACCTCTTAACTAACTGAGCCACCCAGGCACCCCTCAGTCATAAAAAATGTTAAGAGTATATCACTCAGGTACTTACCACCATTCTTAAGAAATGAAATGTGACAGGGATGCCTGAGTGGCTTAGTTGGTTAAGTGCCTGACTCAGGTCATGATCTCAAAGTTTGAGCTTCACGTCGGGCTCTGTGCTGACAGCTCAGAACCTGGAGCCTGCTTCAGATTCTGTGTTTCCCCCTCTCTCTGCCCTGCCTCTGCCGCCGCCGCTTCCGCTGCTGCTGCTGCTGCTGCTTCTCTCTCAAAAATAAATAAACATAAAAAAAAAGAAATGTGACAAAAATATATGAGGAGGGAAACACCCATGTCTTCAACTCTGTTCCCTCTTTCTTTTCCCTCTCCACTCCAAAGCTGTCCTGAATTTAGTATTTGATGTTGGCATTTCTGTGTATTTCTTTATATTTTTACTGCATTTGTTATGTATCTATAAACAGGCATGTTTTAATATTAATTGGTGTTATATAGAAGGTAACCATTTGTAACTTTTTTTAAACATTTTGAGTTTTGTTCTTGTTGATTAGTATGGCTCTAGTTCATTCATTTTTCACTATTTAGTATTCGCTGTATGAATATATCACAGTTGACTTACCCATTTTCTTTTTGGACATTTAGGGTGCTATTCCAAGAGATGCTAACCATTAACATTTCTTGTATGCCTCTTGATACATGTATGTGATAAATTTCTCTAGGGTATAATATGTAGAGAACACATGTGTGTATTGGGCCATAAATTGTGTGTAGATTTTTGTGTATCATAAGACATGGTCATCACTGTTCAACAGATCCTTATGACATTTTCTTATGAAAATGTGTTGGCTCATGAAAGTCTTTTTTTTTCTAAATTTGACAATGCAGGTATGTGAGTAATAAAGAAAATTTAATAATATTCTCTAGTCTTGATATAATTGTCATAGTAGGGACTCATCTTGCAGATTTTGTTTTGTTTTTTTTTTCATCTTGCAGATTTTGAATATACTTACAGTGCCACAACAAAATGTTAACAGAATTTATGCTTGCTTGCCAATTTTATAGTTTTGAAATTTGAACTGTTAGCATCAATGAGATGTCATTCTTGTGGTTTTAGTTTAAGATAAATATTCTGATGGTTGATCTGAGTTGCCCTACTGTCCCTCCCACCAAAATAAAAGCCCAGTCACTGAACTGATTATCAGAGGGTACTCAGTAGCAGTATCTCAGACCAGGTCTGCAGCCCCACTCTGTTGAGGATCCTGTAAGTAATCATTGGAGATAAGAGTAGCTTGCCTCCTTTTCCAAGCAATTAGATGATGTTGTTGTATGCAAGAGTTTTTACTCTTTAGTTTTAGTTTTAAGCAAGGAAAAGATTTGAAATTAGGAGAGCCACTGGTCAACAAAAGACCTAAACTTTCCATTTCGACTTTTGCCATGTGTTTTCTTTTTTCTTGGTTGATGCTGGCATCAGACAGTGTAGTAGGTGGCAACTTGCTGCCAGCAAACATCCTGGCTTGGACCAGCAGTCACTCGCATACTATGTGAACGCAGATAAAGGACAGTTGTTTTCCCTGTCTGCGGCACTGGGCTAAAATTAGTATGCACTCCAAAATGTTACTGTTTCCACTAGGTAAAATAATATATATAATGTACTTAGTACAGAATACAGTACATAGGCCCTCAGGAATGCTAGCGAGCATTATGTTAATGTATTTATGCTGAAGTAGGCTGAGTAAGGAAGGAAGTGACTAATGGACCTAATCCATGAATTTCTTTTTTTTTTTTTTTAATTTTTTTTTAAATTTATTTCTAGAGAGAGAGAGTGAGCAGGGGAGGGTCAGAGAGATAGGGAGTCACAGACTGAAACAGGCTCCAGGCTCTGAGCTGGCAGTCAGCACAGAGCCCGACGCGGGGCTCGAACCCACGAACCGTGAGATCATGACCTAAGCGAAAGTCGGACACTTAACCGACTAAGCCACCCAGGCGCCCCGTAATCCATGAATTTCTAATTTACTGCCCTACCCTGCAGTGAGTTGCTCTGGCTACAAGAATGTCCTATACTTGATCTGAGTGAAAAAATTACCTAGGGTGCTAATAAAAATTCAGAATCCTAGATTTCTTCCTGAAGATTCTGTAAGTAGATCTGGTATGGGGTCTGGAAAACCTGTTTTTAATAATCACCCCCAGGTAACTCGTGCATTGGACATGGTTAGGAAACTGTATCAGTGGATCTTAAAATGGCTTAATTTTTATGTATTGCTAGTTATAGCTTACTGTAAATGTAAATGCAGATGAATCTAAGACCAGCAGAAGTCTGAAGTACTCTTGATGTGGAAGGCTTGTAATTATGGTAAACTAAATTTATTTAGAATGCCCCCCTGCCCTCCAAGAAATTATAACTAATATAGAAATGATAATTGTTTCCCATCGACCTTCTTGTCAAGAAGGTAGGCTATGAGTATGTTCCCATCCCTAAAATAGGGATGATAATCTTGATTTGTGCATAATACTAGTTGTAGTGCAGAGAAACAAAGAAACAAATCTTGTTTCCTGTTCTTAGGGCAGGGCTTTTTATAGTTAGGCCAGGATGGGCATGTTTCTATTACTAGCACTTTAAAGTCAA